TCAGGGAGTGAGGGGAAGCGTCAACTTCAAAAAGGTCTATTCTGTTTCTAAACATATTTTGCCGCTGAACAAAACAGTTTTCAAAAAGCTACAGGACTTAGTCGGATTGCTATTGCTTACCTTTCATGTGTGATTAGTCAAGCTGCCTTGTGGATTCTGCGTATTGTTTTATCTACAGTAATTTACTGTGTCTATGATTACTCAAACTGGCAAGAGACAATTGGTCCCCATATTAATTAGAGGCTGTTAGGTGAATACCAAAAACATGCATGCTAGGCAGATGGATCACCAAATTGTCTCTAGGTGTGAGTGAGAGAGTGAATGGTTGTTTGTCTCGTTTGTCTCTATGTCCCTGTGAAGACCTGTCCAGGGTGTCCCCTGCCTCTCGCAGTAACTGCTGGATATGGGAACCAGAACCTTGACCCAGAAAGAAAGAAGCAGGTAAAGACATGGATGTTGGTTGATAATGGATGGATGTTAGGTGATCACATATAGGCCTGTCACGATAACAAATTTTGCTGGGCTATTAATTGTCTCAGAAATTATTGCGATAAACGATAATATTGTTTGAAATTTGACAATAACTATTAATTATTGTCAAATTTAACAAGAAATGTTGGGTTATTTTTGTGTGTAGTACCTTTTATTGACCACTCGATGGCAGTATAAGACTGTTTGAACCAAAAGATGGATAGTGAGGGAGCGAGCAGCATGTATCTTTAAGATAAAAGGGAGAGAGGCCCCTTGACGTGGCATGGGCTGTCTCTCTTTCCTGTTTTTCGGTTCTTAAAATGACAGACGATCGGTGTGGTTTGAGCTCTTTAGCATAGCATTTTTCACAAAACGCTTTTAATAAAAAAAAAAAAATCAGTAAACAAGTTCTCAGCTTCTTTTTGCAGAAAAAAAAACAACATTTTAGACGAAGGCACGGATTTCAACCATGAATTTTGGAGCTTTGATAAGACGGAGGTTTCTTCCTTAGCCTGTTAGCTTAGCTTGTAGCTTAGCTTCTCAGCTTGGCTGCTTTTAACGATCAAAAAACATGATTTTGGACGGTTAAAACAGATTTTAAAGAGAAAGGGAGGAGTCAGTGAAGAGCACCTGAGTTGAGCTTTTTGTCATCCAGTGTCTTCAGTAGAAAGAGAGATACGAAGAAACAATAAAGCTGATAAATGAAAATGAGGTTGATAATTTTCATTTATCATGCGATTAATTGATTTATTATTTATTGCGACAGGTCTAATCACATATTTCCAAAATAAAACTTTTTTTTTTTTGGCTTGTTTTACATAAAATCTTTCATTTTTTTCTTTTTGTTGTTTGAGCTCCTCACAATCAGCTACAGTATACTTGTTTTTGTCAAGATTTTTCCCCACTGTGGTCCATGATTATCTGAGCATCTAAAATCACTCATAATCACTCAAGCAGTATTAGCAACATCTTCATCATAACAACAGCAAATAAAATAAAACTCTGACATGAGAAAATTACCAAAACATGATCCAAATTCTAAAAGTGCCAACTATTTTAACTGACCCTGCTGTCAAAAATGTAATTATTGTGTAAAAAAAAAGTGGATTAAATTGTTGTTTTTGAGCTACTATTCTGTTGATAAAGTCTTAAACGGATTTCCTACATAGTGATACCTGAGCTGTATTAAAAAAATGTTTAAAACCATTTTCCTCTGGTTGGAATTGGGTTTACCGCAGAAGTTTTGAGTTGTCATCGTTAGCTTCACTGCTCATTCGATTGATTTGTCAATGGATCGAAATCATGCACCGTTGCACGCCCAGCGGTTTAACGAATTTCAAGCAGCAGTGCTCGTAAAGCAGAAAAGTTGCTAAACACATGGGAAGTAAGAAAAACAGCATGCCCACACCATTCTGCATGATAATGCAGAAAATATGAAAAAGTGATGGATGACTTTGGGGTTCTAAGCATGTATCGCATGGGACTTCAGGGACTCCTGGCCCATTGCTGCATCACAAAACCAGGTTTAAACTGCAGCATTGTTTTTATTTATTTATTAAAGTTCTCATTTCTGAGCATGCACATTGCCACTTTATGCTGCTGGAAAATGCAAAAAGATAGATAATTGTATAAGCATATAAAAACCTAAATAATTTAAACATTCTATATTTTAAGAGCTCAATACTATTTTGACCTTATCCTTTAACTGTCCCCAAAATGCAACCAAACATTGACATTTATTCACATTTTCATTTGAAGAGACAGAACTTTCTTTATTATTTAAGTAGTTCTACAATCATTCAGCATCTGCAGTGCTAAAATACACCCAAACCTCTTCTGAAAGACAATATTTTAGGTAGAACATGACACGATTGTGGTGTATGTTTAAAGTTTTGAAGAAGGTAATGTCACTGAACAAAATGACCTGCTGTGATTTCACTTTTCTTTAATTCAACAAAATTACCATAAAATGACTTGGCTTGAGATATAAAGAGAAATAAGAAGCTCCTGTTTTTTTAAATAAATTTAATAAAGTCTTGACCTAATACTGTAAAAGGCAGTAATAATAAATGTATAATAACGACGGCCAACACTTTAACCATATCTTCTTATTTTCTTTCGGCTGTTCCCTTTACAGGGGTTACACCAAGGCATCCCATCTCACTTTGTCTAAACCTTTTAACCACATAAAAGCATAAATTGCAGAGATTATAAACTGCTGTTAAAAAAAACATCCACACAACAGATATGTTGACACATCTGTACCATCATGCACTGCCACATCTCTTTAGAACAACCACATTACGGCCCAGCTGACACAAAACAATGCGAGCCGACTGCACTAGGTGACCCCAATCTATCAAAACACGCCTCGATCAGGACATGGATCCAATCACAAGTATCAGACTGGATGAGACGTCTCTAAAAACTAAAAACTTAACCAACAAATGTTTAGCATTCTCTTGGAGGAGTAGCTGACATATTCCACTATTTAACACCACGAGCTGGAGCTAAGCAGCTCATAGCAGCCTGAGATAAAAAGTTTATTTCTTACTGTTTTATGGCTTTTAAACCAGCACCAATTAAAATAAAATTCAAAATACTGCGTGTGTTGTTTTTCCACGTTGTACCAAGTTTATTATAGTGTTTCAATTTCAGGGCATGTCCTTCTGAAAGGTTTGTGTGCTTATGTGCACGCAAGTCAATTAAAATTTAGCTTTTGCTTTATGGCCATAAATAAAGTTGAAACACTTCTGAGAAAATGTAATCATTTATAGTTAACTTACAAAAGTATCTTAACAGAAAAATGCATATAGAAAGACAAAGCATACAGTTGTCCTAATAGTCTTTAGTGTTTATTTTACAAACATGTTTGTAAAAGAAAAATCAATACAACCTAAGCAATTACTTATTTAAGAGGCGGTTTTTATCTTCACTCAATATGAAAATAATTTGACATTTATAAGGCCAATCTTTGAATCTACGTACGTGAGACAATCTAAATCACCCACATCTGCAAGAATAAAATGACTCAACTGAGGAAATTAATGTTGTACTTGTTGATGCTTGAAACACAAACACAATTAAATCAGAACTGTTTTCTCTACAGAACTTGTCAGAAGTTTTTAATATTTCATATTTGAAGTATTTGTGTCTAGTAAGACCGTGTCTTCACTTTGAATCACCTTTGTAAAAGTTTTATGCAGAACACAGTCTTTGTTATTTCATTACACCCACTTTTGTCTTTTTTAAGCTCAAATCTGCGAACAATTAAAAACAAGTAAACTTTAACATGATCACAAATAAAACAGAAAGAAGAGCTAAAAACAAAAATCTGACTAAAATCTGAGCTACTCACTTACCCAAGTTACATAAAATAAGATAATATTTGTGATATAAGTAAATGAATTGTAATCGGGGTGCACATAACTTTTTTAGTGGGCTCCTCAGGTGAGTACAAGGAGACGGTGTTTGGTACTCCCCACATGCAGCTTTGTCTTAATAAGTGGCACCCCTTGCTGTCCTCCTCAGTGTCACTCCCACTATCCCCTGCTTCAGCTTCCTGCATGGTACATGATGCAGATGCTGCAGATGTGCCTCCTTGTCCTTGGTATTTTTTCTCTTAAGTTATTTTGTAAAAGTCCCATTTTGTGAAATGTAGTTATGACACCCTGTACGAGTTTGTATTTGTATCTTGTTTAGGTCTGTCACGACAACAAATTTTGCTGGGCGATTGTCTCAGAAACGATCGCGATAAACGATAATAGTTTGAAATTTGACAATAATTAGTAATTATTGTCAAATTTAAGAAGAAATGTTGGTTAATTTGCAGAATACAGCACCACAGACTGAGGAAGTCTTTCGGATAAAAGACAAAACGTTTCTACATTTTTTTGTTGTTGTTGTTTTGCTTTGTTTTTTGAAAGTCCAGAGGACCAGATTTAACTTTTTTAGATTAATTTGTTGTTTTTGTTTGCAACAAGAAAAAACGCTACCGCAGCTTGCCACACCTGGGTGGAGGTGGGGTGGCCCAGGTGCAGCAGTAGCAGTGTTCTGAGTTTTAATGTTGTTAATAAAAAGTTCTAAAAAAATAAATAAATAAAAACAGGGAGCGCTGGCCCTGCAGCCCACACATCAGAACAGCCCACAGGGAAATACCCCCATCCTCCCGATTAGTCACTCCCGGCCTGGGCGTTGATAACTTGACGGTCAAGTACGCAAAGACGTGCGGTAACACAGTTGATGCAACGCATTTCTGATGTTTGTTGCGCATGCATACCCGTTATGTGCATCCCTGATTATAATGCTTTTTAAAGAATACTCTACTAAGTTAAAGTTAAATTCGCTCACATCCTTTCATGGATGAACTGTTTTCACTTAATTATTAGTTTTATAAACATGCATCTTGTACCATTTGACCTTTGGCTAGTTTCTGATCTTATTAGGTGTGATTGTGTTCAGCAGACCAATTTTATATTAAATGTAATTCCATCAACACAGTTTAACAGTAAACAACAAAGCAACATTACCTTGTCTGCATCCACTTTGCCCCTTGTGAACTCCATCCTCCAGAACTGCAACGCCTGCTCCAGAGAGAGGCCGATACCTTTGAGGAACAGACCGTACTGCATCCTGCCACCATGGCGGAGATGGTGATTGTCTTTAAGGGCCTGATGCAGCTGCCTCATACAGAGCGGGAATGACTTTCCTGAAAGCTAGAAGCATTAGCATGTTAATGACCAACATAACGTAAATAGGATGCACGCAAATATTTCATCAGCCCACCTTTAGCTTGGATTACAGCACATTTTGGCTGCCACATGAAAATAAAAAAAATTATTCTGAAGTTTACGTTTGCACCACAGATGATTAATGTAACTTACCGAATCGATCTGCTCCAAGGAGATTTTCCCGACGTTCTTATGGATGCTGTAATCCTGTCCCACGTATGCATGGCTGAAAGAAGATATGAAAACATCACGATGGAGACAATAAAACAGATTTGCTGTGATAAATGCAGTTTTAGATGCAGCCGGGGGACTGCCAATAAAACTGATCAATTTTTTTTTTTTTTTTACCAAAGAATAAGTTTATTGCATGACTCAGAAGACAGCAATGTGCCATTAAGTCCAAAAAGGCAATGCCTAACTGGCTACACTGTAATCCAATTCTGCACAGATTAGGAAATAGATATTTCAAAGTTTCTTTTTTAATTAGTTCTAAAAAAAAAATAAAAATAAAAAATAAAGCCTGCCGATCTATAGTAGTCACTGTTTCATCATAAACATTCACGCGTATATAAAAGACTGTAAAAATAAATAAAAAGATCAATATGGAATTTACCCTAAAAATGACAAACGACGACACAACAGTGACAACTCACTACAAGTTTGCACAGCTGGACCTGTCAGCAGGGCCACGGAGGGTTTAATCAGCACAGCCTTAAAACCCAAATGTTTCTTGGTGCCAAACGTTTTTCTTTTTCAACAAAGAAGTGGCAGAATGGCTGCTCACCTGAGATGGTTAAGGAGCGGTTGGAGACGTTCATCAGATTGCACTGCTGGTAGCGAGCGGGCTGTCAGCTGCAGAAAAGATGGGCATCGCATGAGTAATGGCATAAAGTCTTGGTCAAAGAACAGCCCGACACTGCAGGCCAGTAACCAACTACCAAACACAGAATCTTGATTTTATGTACATTAGTTGTAGTTTAAACCGTGTTTTCTCTATAAAAAAACTATACTTCTGTACAAGATGAGAGTATTACCAGTAACAACAGTTCAAAAAGTACAATAATCCTAATAAATGTTTGTAGGCAGAAGCAGGAAGCAGAAATTGGTGTGTGAAAGCTTTTAATGAGTACATTTGTGTAAAACTGACACTAAGGGGATATTTTAAACATCTGTGGCAAATAAAACAACTGGCAGGAAATATTTTATAACCTGTGTCTATTTCCAGCTCTGGTTTTAAAATGAATATACTTGGGAAAAAAAGAAAAAAAAAGAAAAAGCACAACAACAATAAATAAAACGAGTTTACTGCTAAGATTCAACTTTTTGAGGTTACCTTTAAAAATGCACAAATAATTATGAAAATCTAACTGACCCATCTGGGAACGTCCTCCTTTCTTTCACTGGATTTTTTTTGTTTGTTTGTTTTGATTTAGAAGTCCACTTATTGTTTTTGGCTAAAGGAAAATGAACATTATAAAAACAATGTCATACAGTAGTCCCTCGCTACTTTGCGGTTCAACTTTTGCGGTTTTTAAAAATCTGATTGGACATGACACACAATGGCTGATTGATGGATGAGCCGCAAGATCGGCATGGATTTTTTAACATTTAAAATAAATTATTTAGCACCTGCTGCACCCGTGTGCAGCCCACATGTGCAGGCAGAAGATCCCTCCTGCAGCATGTCATGATCTCCGCTCTGCAGCAGAGAAGTGGGCGTGGTCGAGAGTGCTGGCAGGTGGAAGAGAGAGTGGAGATCATGACATGCTGTGCTCTTAGAACATTTAGAAACATTGTTTAGAATATTGCAAGAGTGTGGGAAGGGTTTAAAATAAACTACTACTTACTACTTGTACTACTATTCCTACTTTGCAGTTTTTCACTTATCGCATGGGGGGGACTGAGAACGGAAACCCCCGCGATAAACGAGGGACTACTGCACTTATAATAAAAACTGTTTAGGAAAACTGCAATTCCAACAGTTGGTAGTCTAGATAATTACTTGGAAGTTGAAGAATGGAGGAACCAGAACCAAATTGCTCTTTTTTATATTTGTTTTAGTTTCTCCTCTCGTTGGCAAAATTTTGGCCCGTCTCATGTTGGAGGACACGTATTCAGACCAAAGCCAATCAGGAACTCACTTTGGCAGCATTAACAAAGATGCAATTAGACAAAAAAAAAAAATGTGTCAAATTAAAGCTGGAGCCAAGAATGAATTCAACAGGCAGTCTATTAAAAAAACTAAAATGTCAAGCTTTTTTTTTTCAAATATAAAAGCACAATCAAGGAAACTGATGAAGGTTTTGTGCTACTCTGCAGCCACTCTGAGATTAGAACGTACATATAAACTACTCTCTAAAACCATGCTTCTATAATTCTAGTAATCATGCGTTTGAATTGCCAGAAGTGAGGCTTAGGTTGTGGTTAAAATCACCAAAAAACCATTTAGATCATTGGCTGAGTGGAGGCCAGCGTTTGACAGGAACACAGGCGTTACACAAAACAATGCTGATTAATTGTGACTCCTCCATTAAATACAAGAGGAAGACAAGATAATACTACCGCTGAACAAAATTGCACCTTTGTTTACACCGCCAAGGCATTTTTCATGCACAAACAAGAAGGGACCGACACTTTAAAGACAGACTGAAACGTGAGTCTGACGTCTGCTTTGACTCGTTCTTGACAAAATACTGCCGTTTGTTCCAGCGCTCCGTTCAGAAATATTTGATGAATAAACTTGTGTATGCATTGTGACTGAAAGTCTTACAAAACTACTATAACATAGATAAATTACTGGCATACATTTTACATGTTATGCATGATTTATATGATTAAAAATGGCATTTAACTCAAGTGTTTTTGCATTCATAACTGGTAAAACACAAAATAAGCACATGAGATCTAAAGATTAATAAATTCAGGCTTGATAGTTTTATATAGAGGTACTGACAAAACTGTATGAACGTTATATTGTTATTCTCCCAACAGGCAAAGAAAACTGGGTACCACTTTACAATATGGCTCCACTTATAGATGGCTAATAGTTTATAGATATGTTATTAATTCCCCTATAAACACTTTATAAATCATTAATAACTGCTTATTATGCATTAATTAAGGGCGAGAAAGAGACAAAACTGACCAGTTTCTTGCCAAATAGTGAGCAAAATCTGTTCACCTATACATTTCATCTAGACTTGTTATATTAAACGTTTCAGACTAAGTTACTACCTTGTAAGCACAATAAGCATTTGTAAATCTATTTGTTTTTAGGATATAATTATACTTTATCACTGAATTATACCGTAAGTATGTACAACTATAGATACTTATAATGCAGTAATAAAGTACAATATTATATCCTAAAAACCTTGGGTTTACAAATGCTTATTGTGCTTACAAGGTAGTAACTTGGTCTGAAATGTTTAAAATAACAACTCTAGATTAAATATATAGGTGAACAGATTTTGCTCACTATTTGGCAAGAAACTGGACAGTTTTGTCTCTTTCTCACCCTTAAGTAATGCATAATAAGCAGTTATTAATGATTAATAAAGTGTTTATAGAGGAATTAATAACGTGTCTATAAACTATTTATTAGCCATCTATAATGGGAGCCTTATTGTAAAGTGGTACAGAAAACTGAACTCTGAATCTACAAAGAAATTAATCAAAAATGTTGCATCTCAAGTGTGAGCATCCTGGACTAACCTAAACTAACATTAACCTGCAGAACATTAATCTACAATACTTGGAAATATAAATGTACATCTTATTAGAGCCTAAGATGTTTTTTGACATATTTATATTTTAATGACGCATTTAAAATAAACTGTGCAGCTCTAAGTTTTCTGAAATACTGATTAATATTTACTTTTTTATGTGAAAGCCACAACAAGTCGCCCATAAAGCGTCTAATTACCAGAACAAGCTCTTTCTCGTAATATACAGTGCCACTGGGTTCAGCTGTTTATTCCGCTCGCGCCAGTTCTGCAGCCTGGACTTCTCTCTAAATAGAACTGAACTGCAGTTGTCTCCTCGCATATATAATAAGGAAGGCCTCTAGCTCCAAAAACACTGCGTTTCACATCCCTCGGGGCATTCAGTGCAAAACATGAGCATTTCGATACTGTGCCTTCACGGACCCCCTGCCACGGCTTTAAAAAACACGGTGCCTGCAGGGACAATAGGCTCTTTCCTACTAGTTGTCGCCAATCATCCCTGCAGACATTTCATGTCATGTGTGCACACACTCCTTATTTGAACCCTGCATTTCTCCAGTTTCCCTTGGGGTGCTAATGGAAACTGCTGCAATTTTCCAATCTGCCTCGTGGAAGTGGGCTTTTTGTCAACACAAAATGCACTTGAGAAAAGTGCATGCACAGAAATAAACACTACTGCAACTTAATGCAATGAGACGGAGAGTTGAAGGGATTATAATTCTTGCAACATTGTTAGGATTACGCAGTAGGTGGTTTTTGGAGTGCATTATACGTTGAATATTTTATAGCTTTAAATGACAAGAATTTGCACTTGCAATTCTCGTGTTTCTTATTCTTCCCAAAGCAATATTTCAGGGCATTTTACATTTTAAACTAAAAAAAAAAAGAATTTTACTTACAGCAAGAGCTTTGGACAGCCTTGTACGGAAGTCATTGAGAACAATGGCGACAATTTCATGATGAGGGATGTACGCACAGCCCTTTCTGAGGTACACTTTCCTTGTTCGCACCAAATCCAGAGCGTCTTGAAATGGAACCTTAAAAAATATTTTTGTATTAAATGATTAATTCAGAGAATATGCAGCACAATGGTTCTGTTATTTGAAATCAGGATTTACTTATTTTGCTGATGTTAAGAAGACAGATTTGCATTCTCCTCAATGAAATGTAAATTAGAAACAATTAGTAGTCCAGGTCAACCTCTCTGCCACCTTTTCTTTTTGTACAGTGACTGCAGAATTAAATCAGTTCTCACAGTAAATGTTTTTAGGGTGACCTATCAAGCAAGCTCTGAATAATTTTAAAGGCATCTACACAATCTGAAAGTGAATACATAATAATAAATTCTGCTTATAAGTAAAAAAAAAAATACAACAAAGCTTTTAAAATCATATGTTTCAATAGGTCAACATGATTTGTGTAAAAGCACTTTGAGTACCGGTAGTCGACACGATCTGTAAAGTGTGACTGATGCAACAGGAGACAACTTTGTCAACAAATAAACAACCTCTCAGGTCAAATGGTAAATGGACTGTACTTACAGAGCACCTTCCTATCTTATTCAAAGCTGTATAAATAAAGGTTGAATGAATGAAAAAAGCGCTTTACATTTCAACCTGTGCCCTCGTTTACCCATTCATACAGCACTCTGTTATATCTATACAAAGAATAATCAGTGCTTTATCTCACTGATGGGACACACACCGGAGGCAATGAGGGGTTAACCACTCATCCACAGCCGCCCAAACAACTGGACAGTAACATGATTTGATAAATGCAGAAGTATATATAGGCCTGTTATGATAACAAATTTTGCTGGGTGATTAATTGTCTCAGAAATTATTGTGATAAACAATATTGTTTGAAATTTGACAATAATTAGTAATTATTGTCAAATTTAAGAAGAAATGTTGGTTAATTTGTTTTGAGTGTAGTACCTTTTTTGACCACCGGCTGCCAGTATAAGGCTGTTTGAAATGAAGGATGGACAGTGAGGGAGCGAGCAGCGTGTCTCTAAGAAAAATGGTAAGGTGGCCCCTTGACGTGACATGGGCTCTCTCTCCTTCCTTTTTTTCTGGTTCTCAAAATTTGTGGACTCTCTGTGTGATTTGAGCTCTTTAGCATAGCATTTTTCACACAAAGCTTTTAATTTAAAAAAAAAAATCAGTCAACAAGTTCTCAGCTTCTTTTTGCAGGAAA